GGAAAATGAGCATAGCAACCCAGACAGCAGGCACTAATGTCCAACTCTGTGTTCGATTCCATTGCAGCCTGCCCAAGGAAATGATTGACTAGACCAAGGCAGCCCGAGGCCACGAGATGCACGAACTGTTTACGAAAGTGCTCGCCAAGCGCGATTTGTCGAGAGCGGGAGATCTGTTCTCGGTGCCCGATGCGGACATTGTCAACGACATCACGGAGGTGGTAAGTGGCCTCACATGCTGCCCTCTCGATACCGAACTAAACTCATATCTCATATCACTCACCTGCAGCTCTGCGAAATAAATCCCATCATCTCGCACGCGGATTACGTGAAGAACAACAATGATCAGAGCGTGGTGGAGATCTGTGTGACGCGTGTGCTCTCCTGCATCCGGGAGACACGCAGCGCGGAGCGCTACTGCGCAGCCCTGGTGGACTTGCTGAAGACCTGCTTGCTGTGGAACCTGCAGCCAGTGGCTGCCACCAAGGAGGAGCCGCCGCATGCCAAGATCGCCGCTGACATAATATCCAGCATATTCCTGGTAGGTACTCCTCGACTTACCCTGGACTCCTGCTGAACCCGTTGCCCTTGCAGAACTATGATAAAAAAGAACTGATGAAGATAGCGCTGCCTATTGCCGTGCAGTTCCTGCCCAAGGGCAACAAGGAGCTGTCCCGCAACCTGGCCAGCTATCTGTCCCTGGCTGCCATTGACTACGCCTACTTGCTGATAGACATCATGGAGCCCATCATGGACTCCATTCTAGCGGGTAACTACGGCCTGCTGCGCGTGCTCTCGCAGGTGTACGAGGTCTCCCCGGAGACGGTGACGCCGCATGCGCCGCAGCTCATCCCACTGTTGCCGCAGTGCGACGCCCAGGAGCGCATGGCTGTCTTCCAGCTGTATCTGCTCATTGTGCAGAAGTCGCCGGCGGTGCTGGAGTCGTGTGTGCCACAGCTGTGTAACTTCCTGCAGGATAGCGACACCTCCAACATCACCATGCAGATCCTGCTCAAGCTGGCGCAGCATGCGCCCCATCTGCTGGTCGAGCACTTCGAGCAGCTGCGCCTGGCAGCCAAGGCCAATCCCAGCACGGTCACACTCTGCGCCCAGATACTGACCACCGCTGGCATTGGCAGCAAGGAGACGGCACAGCAGGCTCTGGACTTTGTGCTGGAGCACCTGCCCGCCCAGGCACTGCTGCAGCAGGAGGCGACTTGCCTCTGCTCCGCCTACCCCGTGCTCTTCACGGACAAGGTGCTTGCGTGTGTGCGACAGAAGAACGCGGCGCTCAGCTCGCAGCACGATGTGGGCAACAAGATCTCTGGCGGCGTCACCATTGTCAGCCTCAACAGCAGTTCCACCCCCAGCCCCAGCCCCAGCGCCAGCACCAGCACGCAGATCAAACCAGGTACGTGGCCTGGCTCAGCCAGCAACAGTTGCTTCTATATTCACCTCATGCGTTTCTGTTTTCACAGCTGCTCCAACTGCCACGCCCCCGAGCAGCAGCAGCAGCAACAACATTGTTCAGCAGCCAAGCTCCGTTAATGCCATGCCCACGCCCAGTGCAGCGCCAGCGCCCACGACGTCAGCTGCAGCAGCAGCCGCAGCAGCACCCGCGGCAGCTGTGCCCGTTGCCACGCACACGCCCACGCCCACGCCTCCGCACACAGGCTATACGAGGCGCGTGAAGCTGGGCGACTCGCGCAGCACTGGCCGCCTGCATCCGGCGAGCAACACCCACAGGAGCGTCACTCGCCTCAACGTGGCCAGCGGCTCGGTCGGCGGCCTGCACAAGAGCATGACGCGGCTGAGCAACTCACAAATCAATCAGCAGCCCGGCGGCAGCTCCAATGGCAATGTGATCGTGCAGACAGGTGCCATGCCCAAGCAGCCAACGTCGCCGGCCAATCCGCCGGTCACGCCTGTGCCGCCCTTAAGCAACGATGTGATCATCACTGGCCACAACAAGCACGGCATACCCGTCACCTCGGGCGGAGTGACCGTGACCACGTCGCCGTCCAAGGTGCGCCCGCACTCGCAGGGCCCCTCCACGCTGCTCAATTCCAGCTCGGTGTTGATGAAGTACAGCACGGATGCACTGAACCAGTCCGTGGGCTCCATCTCCATACCACCATCGGTGGCTGCATCCACAGCCGCGGTGCAGCAGTCGCAGAACGCCGTCTCCGTGCATCATGCTTCGCCAGCTGTGCCGCCATCGTCGAGCAACGGCAATGCCAAGTCTGTCATGAAGCTGCCCGTGAATGGAAATGTGAGTATAATCGAAATGCTAGAGATTTCCCATGGTTTACCTTTTGCCTTTATCCGCTGCAGAGCGAGGTGATCGTCTCGGGTCCAACAACCACGACGAATGTGGCGCCCAGGCGCAGCGACAACACCAGCCGCACTCTGCTCAATGCCAACAGCGTGATGGATCAGCGCATGAGCACCTTCGAGCCCTACCAGATCATGCGCGATCCCGTGCAGCAGTTCTGCGAAAAGAACTTCATCTCGATTAAGTCATATATGGACGAGGTCTCACAGCATCTGCCGCCGCCCACACGCTGCAGCATCGAGGGTAGGTCCCTCCTGCTCTCGCTCTCTCTCACTGCTCTTTACTGATCTCTCTCTCTCTCGCTCTACACACATTCCGCTTAACCCACTCACACACCCACACACATACACATCACACAGTTTCTAATGAATTTGCAGAGCGTCGCAAGAAGGTGGCGAAGCTGCATTTCGCCTGCCAGATTCGTGGTCCGCATTGCCTCTACTCCAAGACGTGCTTCACGATGCGCACACGCAACCCCAAGACCTGGATACACCTGATCTTTCTCGACTTTCAAGTGCGCCATTTTGTAAGTATGACCCGGTATTGATCTTAGAGGATGTAAACTTAATGAAATTCCATCTCATCCCTCTTCAGGTGAAGGAGAAGTGCGTGCTCAGCACTCGAGAGCCGGGCATCAGCAATCTGAAGAACATCTGGCAGATACTCAAGTGCGAGAATCGCAGCTTCACCGAGCTGGTCACCAGTCAATTTCCCCAGGTCAAGGTGCGTATCCATTTGTGGCCAACAGAGCTTCTCCTGCTAATTGAACTTCTTCCGTGTTTCACCTGGCTGCAGGACCGCGAGATACTTGTGAACGAGCTGCGTCACTCGGGCTTTTTGGATGTCTTTGAAGTGTCCAAGACGGACAAGTCGAATCCCAACTGCAATGAGCTGGAGTATCAGTGGGGCTGCTTCCTGTGCAATCATCCGGACAAGGCGGTTGGCTTCCTCAATGGCAGCAATCAACCCATGATCGAGGGCCAGCTCAAGGAGAAGAAGGGCAAGTGGCGTCTGTTTAGGCGCTGGCGCACGCGCTACTTTACGCTCTCCGGCGCCCATCTGTCCTGCAAGGGATCCGTAAGTGTGCACACAAATCCTCTGAAGAGATTTTTTATAGAATCTCTGACATTTTTTAGAGCGGTGGCGAAAGCATCGATGTCAATCAAATACGATCCGTGAAGGTTTCGCGTGGCGCTCGCAACATACCCAAGGCATTCGAGATCTTTACTGCCGATCAGACCCTAATACTCAAGCCCAAGGACGGCAAGAATGCCGAGGAATGGGTGCAGTGCCTCAGCATTGTCGTTGCCCACTCGCAGGCGCGCGACAATCCCACTGTGAAGACGAACAGCCTGCCCGCCCGCAGCATTGGCAGCAGCAAGCCCTCCTTCTAGCTTGCCACGAAACCCAATCCCCCGAACCCAATCGCAACCTGAACCTACATTGTGAGATTATCTGTAATTGTAAAGACCACAAACAAAACACATAAAAGACAAAACGCGGCGGCCGCAACATATAGCTGTCTATATATATACATACATATAAATATACATATACGTATACTATTTTATATATACCATATACGAATACATGTTATATATATATAAACGTATTTATGCCCATACTTATAGACGTATCTAGCAATTAGTACCTACCATTTCAAGGGATTTTTCAAAAATTTTGCGAAATTGTTTTTACGAAAGTAGTTGATTTTTTTTATATTTAGTTTATGCTTATTTATTATTGTATTATACAAACAACAAAAAAATATCTTTCTATCGAAAAAAAACTTATTGAATTTGATTTATTTATATTATCAAACTAGGGGGTTTATCAATGATATCAGATGTATATATTTATGCAAAAGTTGTGAGTGAGAGATGAAATAATATTAAGATCATTACGAGATCATGAGGCTAAAGTATAATCTCAGCAGCGACAACAACTAGGTCCCATAATCAAGTCCAGCCGGAAATGAGGCACAAATTTCTTACAAGTTTCTTCTGGAAATCACTTTGTTCTCTATTTATTTTTTTTCCGCAGATCAAATAAGCAATAAAAGCCAATCATATTCAATTTTGCAATTTCTTTTTAATATTTTTCTATAATACATTTTTAGGATTTGTTGTTTTTTCTGTTAAACGTAAATTTTTAAACTAAAAATTGCTGTTTTTCTTAAGCCACAGATCTTTGAACTAAAAAGCCCTGACTCCTGTGCTTAGTCGATAGCTAAGCATATGCCAAAATGGCTCTCTTATGGCATTTTTATCAACTTTGCCATCAGCTTTGTTTAACATGTAGTTCACCGTATGCCAAAGCTCGTCTTGTTGCTAAATTTGTTCTAAAAATGTTTTCCTTAGGCTCTTAACACATAGGCTGAGCATTGATCAATCAGTCAGTCAGTCAATCAATCAGAACAAACACCCATATAAATCTATATAAGTATTTTTATAGACCTCTCAAATGCAGTTCAGGCAAATAAATTTGTCTACCACCTGAAAGTATGCAACAAAATCATTGAGAGAGCGCTTCGAAGCAAGCAGCTTGAAATTCAAATTAGAAATTTTAATTAAAGACTTTCCCATAGTAAATTTGGATTTGGAATAATACTAGCTTGAAAGACAAAGATTTTGTTAATTTAGTTTGTTAATTGAATTCGAAACAGTTCAGATTAGTTAAGGTAGCTAAAATATTTAATGTCGAGCTAAATAAATTGTTGTTTGCAGCGGCTTTAAAGCTTCACACACTTGCTTCGAGTTGGACGCAAACATTTCTAACTAACTACGTGTTGAACAACTCTTAAGTACTATTAGTTAACTAGAGAATTAACGACAATTTGACACAGTTCAGGGCCGGGACGTGGGCACATCTGCACCGCCATTGGCATTGAGATCGCATTGCTGCTCGGTTAGCTCCAATAGCTGAGTCCAATTGGCATTCAGCCGCACGATCTCCATGTCACGGCGTAGCTGCTGCAGCGGCGCATGCTCCGTCAGGCACTGGCAATCGTCTAGGACGCGACTGACATGCTCCAGCTGATTGGCATAAATGCGTAGACGCTCCACATTGTTGTTGTCCTGCTGGGGAGCACCGTTGACCTGTGGATAGCATGAAGCCGGATTAGTTGTCTGCTTGCCATAGATAGATAGGGGATAGGATAGCTCACCGTTAGCTGATTGCCGAACACCTTACGCAGATAGCTGCTGACACGCTCATCCAGGAGCTGTCCGTCCGCATGCCACATCTTCAGCAGATTCAGTATGCCCAGGACGTCGCCCTGCTCGGGCATCTGGTTGGGCGAGAGCAGCTGCATGGGCGGGAACTCGGTGGTGGGCGACAGCTTTTTGTAGCTGCTGCAGAGCGTGCTCAGCGTGCAGATGTCCTCATTGAGGCGCTGTCGTCGAGCCGCAAAGAGCAAATATCGAACAGCAAACCGAAGCAGCAACAACAGCGAAAGCAAGTCGAGAATCAGGACAAGGAGCATTATGGGCATTATGGCAATTAGTTAACGGATTTCATTTCAAACGAAAGAGTGCGCTTCTGAACTTGATTTGTGACTGGGACTGTCCGTTGACGGTTACGAATGAGTATTTTACAAATCGTTGGCATGAGAAACAAAGTACAAGAAATGATATAGATGACTTGATCTGAATGATGATAATGATGTTGATGATGATGATGGCAAACTGAACAAGTCAAATAATTAACGTAAATTAGGCCAAGAGTTCGGTTTATTCTAAATCAAATAATACGTATGACTAAAAATACGATTAACATATAAGATAAGATCAGCTGCAACGCGACTGTTTAACATAAGATTATATATCTGGCGACTAAACGATATAACGATATATAGAAATGTCTTCGAAGGGTGCGCAACACAAAAAATTAAATGTAGTCCATGAATTAAACGTGGCTAAAACCTTACGTCGATCTCGTTGCGATGTCGCTGCATTTCAGCCTTGGCGCCGCTCAGGTCGCTGCCCTTAATCATCAGCTCCTGTGTGGCATCCATCAGCTCATCCTGCAGCTTCAGGTTGTCATCCTCCAGGTCTTTTAGTTTCTCTAGCATATCCTCCTTATGCTGCTGCAGTTTATTTCTGCAACGGAAGTGAAAGTTGAGCATAAATTCATATAAAGGCAGAGGGAAATGGAATGCCACTCACTTATCCACAATCAGCTGCTGTATGCAATTGTCGTTGTCCAGCTGAACGAGTCGCAGCACCTTGAGCAGCTTGGTGACCAGCGTGTCCACCTCAATGACCTGGTCGACCACAGCCTGTGCCGTGCTGTACTCCATCAACGAGGGCAGCTCAGCCAGCGAGTCGTGGCAGCTGAGCTCCTCCGTATTACATTGCTCGCGATTGCTGTGGACGAGGCAGTTAGATCAAGCTGATATTTATGTTTCATTCGTTCACTCACTTGCTGGGCAGCACGCTGAGCTTGTGCACATGCAGCTCCATCTGTTGGCGGTTGGTTATGGCCTGCGACAGTTGCTGCAGTGAATCGTCGCTATTGCCTGCAGCTGTCGGCTGATGCTGCTGCAGCTGCTGCTGCTGGCTGCATTGGCTGATCAGATCTGTGGGTAGCTCGATTTGCGAGATCATGCCCGTGCAGGAGGAGACCATGTTGTGCGAGTGTGAGTCTGGCTGCACCACATCCTCCAGCACATTGTCCATCATGAGCAAGCAAGGCTGCAGGCGGGAATATGTGAAAAATTGCAGAGACTGAGCAATGGCTTTCGGACTTACCTCTGTCTCAGAGTCCAGCATCTCCGTGGAATCGGAATCATCTGTGAATAGACACATACATATATAGCTATTGCTTTTATACAACTTGCTCTGTCCTACCTTCGTTGCCATTGTGATTGGCCTGTTCGTTGTTGTTGAGCGCTGTCGCGGCATTTGGGGCGCCTGCTCCTGCAGCTCCTGGGCCATGACGTTTTCCCGCCTGCCGCAGCGAGAGTCGCTTTCCCGAGTGGGTGGTGGCCTGACGAATGGCACCAATGACGGCAGCTATAAAGGATTGATTGCGCTGCGGCGACAAGGAGCCGTCGCTGGTGAGTACCAGGGTGTTTAGCCCATCGCCAGCCATTGCTGGACTCAGTGGCAAGTCCAAGCCGTTGGGCTTGAGGCCATTCTGGGCGTGCTCCGTTTCTGTTGCCAGCGACTCTGCCTGGAAACGTGTGTCCTGCAAAAGCAAATCATTAGTTGATATATGAGCTTGATTTGTTTTCCAGCTCACCTCCAAATCCTGCTCGGATATGCTGTAGGAGCACACCAGCTGCTCCACCAGGTTGTCGAGTCGCGCGTGCAGTCCAGACAAGGCCGTCGAGGCGCCCGCCACCGCAGCGTTCTGCTGATGTATTAGCTCTCGGGACTTGTTCTCCAGCGCCGCATACTTCGTTTGCAGCAGTCGATTCTCCTGGCGCCGCTGCTCGTTGAGCCGCACCAGATGCCGGCACTCGTCGCGCAGCACCTTGGCCTCCTCCTCACGATTGGCCAGCTGCGCCTTGGCCGTCAAGTGCTCCGTCTCCAGCTCCCGCAGCGCATCGCACTGGGCGGCCTTTTCGTGCTGCAGGAAATCCTGCAGCTCGCTGGACTCCTGCTCGATGGCGGCCTTCTCCTGCAGCAGCAGCTGCTGCGTGGCCAGCGAGCGATGCATCTCCTGTTGCAAGGCGCGGCACAGTGCACGCAGCTGCCCAATCTCTTGCTGGCGCTCGATCAGCTCATGGCCGCTCATCTGAATCTGTGACTCCAGCATGAGCAGGCTGTCATGTCCGCTGCCATCCCCACTGTCCTCCGATGTGGGCGTACCTGCGCTGGCGCTGACCACGCGCGCCAGTTCCAGCATGCCCATGACACGCTCCGTGTTGAGATGCAGCTCCTGTTGCATGGCCAGCTTCTCCTCCCGCTCGCGCTGCAGCTTGCCACTGAGCTGGCGCACCTCCAGGCGCAGCTGCTCCAGCTCATGATCACGCTGGTCCGGCTCCGCCTGCGTGCTCTGATCCAGCTGCTCCACGGCGTCCAGGGCACGCGTCTGCAGCACACCACCGCCCAAAACCTGCTCCAGGTCCTCGCTGGTCAGCGCCGTCTGCACCGCCGTCTCATGGTAGATGCGTGTCCTGGGCGTTGCCAGCTGCTGCGGCTGTGGGCGACGCAGCGAATTGACCTTTGCGCTGACTGTGGGCGCTGCCAGACTGCGCCGGCTTGTGGGCATCACCATGACCGACGAGGTCATGCGGGCATCCACAACAGCTGCTCGGCTAATGGAATTGCTGCGTGAAAGACGCCCAGCGCTCAGATCCTCCACGGACTGCTGCCTGCGACGGCGGGGCAGAGTGCCTCCTGCAATTAAGAGGGGAATAGTCAGAGAAGTTGGAGAGGAGCGTAGGGAATTTTCGAAGCTCACCTGGTGCCGGACTGCCCCGCATGCGATTAGCCATCACATCCGGAGTCACAGACATGCCACGTCGCTGTCCGGCGGCGCCGCGATTCGCCGGCCAGCGTCCGTCCTCGGAGGGCGTGCCCGGCGTGCGAGCGCGACTCAGTGACGGCGTGCGCTGCACCTGCGCGAGCCGCTGAACGGATTGGGCGCGATTCAGTGCGCTGGGCAGCGTGTCTGGCTTCTGTGGGCGTGGCGTGCGCACCGGCGTGACCGTGCTGTTCGGCGCACGGAACGAACTGGAGTTGGCAAGGCGTGGCTTCTCCCTCGCCGCTGTCGTGGGCGCCCCGTTGCGTGGCAGACTGGCCGCACGCTTCAAGTTGGCCACGCGCCCGCGCAGCTGCTCCTGCGTCTTGGCTGTGCCCGACTGCAGCTGCTCCGGCTCCGGCTCGAACATGGCCACCTTCTTCTTGACGCTGCCATTGAAGCGGCGCGGCGGCGTTCGCTGCGAGCACTCGCTGCTCTGCTCACTGGGCGACACGTTGCTCGTCAGGTGCAGCTCGCAGCTGTCGTAGATCTCCTCCAGTCCGTTGCTGCTGGTGTAGCCGCCGCTGGTGCTGCTGAGGCCGCGCTGCAAGGTGATCCGGGACTGGCAGCAGCTGCTGGGCACATCTAAGCCGCTGTCGCTGCCATCGCAGTTGCTCTGTGTGGTTATCGTGCTGGTGGTGGTGCTGCTAGCCACCACGCTCAGTGACGTCGTCTCGCCCAGCTCCAGGCTGGACATGCACATGGCCAGCTGCTGCTCGGAATCGCTTGCCAGTTGCTGCTGCTGCTGCTGCTGCGGATCCTCCATCTCGAACAGCGTGCCTGACATGACAGCTCACTACCTACAAAGAGAGTGTGAGTGAGTGAGAGAGAGAGAGAGAGAGGGAGAGCACATTTAGTCGTATGATTCACTTCGTGGCGACCCAAATTTTGCATGCTGCACGCGCGTATTTTGGGATGCTGGCATTTCGGTTGTACACACTCCTGCCTCACCTTCTCCCCTGCCAGCCGCCTGCCTGCCTGCCTCGCTGCCCGTCACCTGTAACCAGTTGCACACACGCCAACGACCTTTTGGCAAATGGGGAATGCCACATGCCACTTGTCGCAGCGAGAGATCCCGTTGCTGCCCCTCGGGCTGACGGACTGCCGGGCTGCCGTGCTCGGCCTTTTGCGGTCAAGTTGGACATGCAACATTCTGTGTCCACATCTGCCAGCTACTGTGACGACTCTGGACAGCTGCTGACGACCAGGTGGGCCAGGCTCTTGATCGACTTAAACTAGTTCACACCTGACAGCCCAACGGGGACACGACATACGGCCATAACTTATGAGCCGGGCGGGCTGCCTGAATTGCCAACATTTGTTGACCCATAGAACTACATAGCTACGCGCCCCACTCCGCTCCTGCCCCGAAATTCGTGCCACATTTTGTTGCAGCTGCAACTGCATCTGCTTGCATTTCCAATTCACATTTTCGCATTGTTCTGGGCCACTCAATTCATTTCGCAGCCCATCATCATGCATCATGCATCATGCAGCAGCATCAACAGTTGTAGAATATTTATAAATCTGCCATGTGGCATTTGCCACTTGGCCAAGATGTGGAAAATAGATTGAGAATTACATTATTTCAGCTTGAATATGTGAGGCATGAGGTAAAAGATGTGCCAACTGAACCCTAAGTCAAATAAGTTTGATATAAAACAAGCTAATCATATTAGAAAATAATAACAATAATGGAGCCTCATATTAGAAATACATAAGAAAATATATATTTGAAAATACGTATAGGTATTTGAATAAAATTTACCATTAAAAAAATCAGAGTATAAAAAGAAATATTAAAAAAAAATATATATATTAATAATAATTATCTTATTTATAATAATAAATTTAGCTTATATTTATATTATATTACTTTGCTTATAATTATTTTTTCAATGGCAAATTTCATTTCTCTTTTAACATTACTTGAACATGGCTTACTCTTCAAGCCACCCTCGCATATTGTGACCTATTATGATTCAAGCTAGGGCATTTAAGCTTCGTCTTAAACTACCTACACCCGATTTCCTATTGTTTTCGCAGCTTCAAGCCCGCATCATTAGTATCTGCTTTGTTATGCGCACTGCCAGAGATTGTTTATTTTTTTTTTTTTTTTTTTGGCAAACTTTTCAAGATTTCATCATCGTCCATCGGCAAAAAGCGAAAACATAATGAAGCTGCTCCAATTTGTAGTTAATTGGAATTTCATTTGTGGCTAATTGCAATTGTGAATTGCGTTGGGGCAGCTCAAAGCAATTTTCAGATGGCTTTAGATGCCATCACAATGGGCGAGGAGGCGGGCACACATGGGCACTGAGGCTGCCAAACCCGTTTTGTGCACGATCCTGTTAAACGACCTTGGCTAGAACATGTTAAAGGCTGCCTAGAAGTGGCCTTAAAGCTCGTTTACGCCATGCGGCTGATGAAGTGCTGCACAAGAAGAAGAAGAAGAAGACGAAGAAGAAGAGCACACTCTGAGCCGAGTGGATGACAGCGGTCTAATGAAGGGCACTTCAAGCGCGCCGAGCAGAAGGCGACAATCATCCACCCAGCCAGAAGGCAGACTCTGTGTGTCGCACAAGGCGGCGACTTTGAGGCGAAGCGAGGCAAAGCCAGGAGGAGGCGAAGCTAGAAAAACGTAGCAATTTCCATATACATAAAGCAGATAAGCACACACACACAGATAGAGACACACTCAGACACACACAGCTGCAGCTGGATTGTTAAAGCTTGAGCAAAAAATGAAAAAGAAAAAAATGTATGTGGCAGATACAGACAGCAGCTTGCCATCGAACCCTTCAAGTGTCTGGCTGGAAATGAAGTTGTCGCTGCGCATCGATCCACATGGCCCTGGCAATGCGCGAGATTGAGTTGTCGATGGCAACGCGATTCTATGCCAAGGCAAAGAGGCACAGAGTCATTTGCATAAGCCGGAAAATGGAGCTCGAGCTGCAGCAGGCTGGCCAGGTTCAAGGCGAGCGTCGCCCACAGCAGCAGGTGGCTACCGAGATGGTACATACCAATATCCATATATATATATATATATCAATTTGTTCATATGTATTGCCTCCACGGCTCATTAACTCCAATCAATGAGTGCAGCAAGTGCTGAGCTGAGCTGAGCTCAATTTGTGGCTGCGAGAGACACAAAGTGCGCCTAATTCGATTAAGGCGCTTCGAGGCGCAGAAATAAAGCCAACGCATTCAGAGTGGCTGGCGGCGACATTGCCAAGTTAATTAAAGCCAGAACACCAGACTGGGCTATGACAAGCTGCGTGATACGCTGCATTCAATGGAAAATTTAAAAAATGAAACATAGCTGAGATATAAATGAAACAATTTTGAGAATTTAAAGAGATTTGCAAATATTTGGTGATTTATTTTATATTATTAACAACATTATAAGCATATAACCCCATTCAGTTATTCAAACGGGGTATTGCAACAAAAACTGCAATTAACTTGGCTGAAAAGGCGCGTTGATGCGCAAATGCGAAAACTAAAAAAAAAACGCAAAAGAGTTGCAAATTCTGTGCTGCGTGCATTTCCCCCCATTAATTCGCATGTCGAGCAATCAAGAAGGGGGAATTACATGGGGCAACTAGTTGCAGGCACTGCGGTCAGGGGTTGCAGCCATGACACTGCGACAAATGAGCGACAGACGCATTGCGGCTAACCCATTTGACTTCACTCTTCGAACGGTTCAGCGGCCAGTTAATGCACCACACATTAGCACTACAATTCATATATGGCATGGCATGGGATGGGAAACAACGTATTACAACATGAAATGAAAAGAAAGCTCTCTGATGCTTAAGATTACGAATGATTAATGATGTCAAGATTTAGAAGTGTATTTAACATATTCGAAAATTAACATCAAATTAATAAAAAATATGTTTACGTATAAGCCCAGCATATTTTTTAATAATATAATTTATATGAAGCCTCTATATATATTTGTGATAAATTATTGTACTCATGTACATTTTACTTAATGATATTATGTAGCTTAAAGACAATTTCAATTTTTAGACAGTTGCAGAGGCTTTCTTTTTGTATGAAAAGATCATATATCATATAAATAAGGACTGTAAATAAGCTATTCATATACACAAAATGCTTTGATATTTTCATCAGGACAGCATAATCAGCTAAACAGCTTGTTAGGGTAGCTCCTTAAACAAAAATTAGTTTCACTTTCTACTCTAACAATTTGTGTTGCGATATGATATAATCTCATGAAATCTATGCTATTATACCAAATATATTATATATCATAACAATAAATAGTATAATATAAATAGTATAATATAAAAGCATAGACAATAGATTTATGGGCTCTTCAGAACCAGTGCCCAATGCTCATAATGTACATCCCACGACAATCAGCTAGCTCCAACTCGAATTAGTTCTACTTTAAGAACTTGTCCATATTTTAAGAAATATGTTTATGCACTCATTTGGCATGCATTCGCGCTCTCTCTCTCTCGCTCTCTTTCTCTCTGTCTCAGTCTCGTTCTCTCAACTTAGCTCCATAACAAATTCTGTGCCATATGTTGGACAGCTCATATACATACATATATCTATACGAGCATATATCAAAGAGGGAAATATTGTACGTTCACTTGCATAAATTTCTCTCCACTCATTGTTGCTGTTGCTGCTGTGGCAGTTGCATTGAAAACAATTTATTTCCATGCCTCGCATTTATGGCAATTTATTTTGTGCTGTCTAGTGGAGGGCAGCAGCTCATGTGTGTGACCCCCTCTAGAACCCCGAAGCAACCAATTTGTTTGGATTTGAATTGTTCGTACGTTCGCTTCTTCTTCTTCTTCTTTTCATTTTACTTTTATTTTCGGGTAGGTGGATGCAAATGTCGCGACTCTTTTAATTGATACCAAAAATACTCAAATACGCTGGCAAATTCTCACGCTGTGCTAAACAGGTGAACAGCTGTGTGTGCGCGTGTGTGGGTGTGTGTGGGTAGCTGCCACGCCCCGTTTTGGGTTTATTGAACACTCCTCTTCCTCGGCTGCAGCACTTCCTGTGCACGACGACCCACGAAACACGAATGAAGTGAAACATTTGTGCCGCGAATTACAATCGGAGGGCCGGGCCCGCATTTGCTGCCCCCATCCCTAGCCTCCGCCTCCGCCCCTGCAATATTCCCCAGCCACGTTTCACAGTTATAATGAGCTGCAGTTGCAAGTTGTGCGCCCCGTTTGTGCCTCTAGCTGGGGACAGCTATTGAAAACTGCGCAAAGAGTTTTTTCGGTTCGGTTCTGTTCGGTTCGGTTTGGTCTGGGCTGGGGGCCGAGGCAAACGAGGCGCACTATCTTCCGGGTTCTGTTTGCTCCCCTCGCTCAGTCATGCTCGCTCCCTCTCTCTCTCTCTCTCTCTCTTTCACTCTGTCTCTCTTTCGTTGTTTTGGAGTTTTTATTTCGTTGCACCTGCACAGCCCAGGCATGATTTCTAATTTGTTTTTTTTTTTTTTTTTTCGACGCTAGACGCGCCTGCTGCTGCTCCTCCTTCTGCCCCTTCTCATCATTTTAGTTGTTTTGAATGTACATTGGGCAGGGGCGGAGGCGCGGTGCGGGCTAGGGGGCGAATGTTTAATTAATCAAAGAGAAGGCGGACGGCTCAAGAGACAGAGTGAGACAGCTAGAAAGAGAAAGAGAGAGAGAGAGAGCGCGTAGAGAGGGGGCGGTTGGGCGGTTGTCTGGCATGACCAGCTGGGCTGTCACGAACGCGGCTTCGGCTCTGGGTATTGGGAAGCAGCAACAACAACAACAATTGAGCTAAACAACAACAAACCAAGCAGCAAGTAGCAGGAAGAAGCGACCAACTGAATCGCTGCGCTTTTTGAAGTTTCTGTTGTTTTTGTTGCTGTTGCCCAGTGCCATAAACTATAAACAATTTTTTCGGCGGCTTCTCAGTCAACAGCGAATGCGGCACGCAAAAGTTTCGTTTTGCATCTGTTGAAAGTCGAAGATTGAGCAACCGACGAACCAAACGAATAACCAAACGAAACTCGAGCCAAAATGAGCTTGCGTTGAAATCGTCCCAAGTCATAGAATCATGAGCTGTGTGCCACACAGATTACACTGTGCCACACATTACACTCCAATTAGCTACTCTATATGGATGCCAATCAATAGGCTCACAACAATTGGTAGACATATTTAACGCTAAAGAAATCCATATGCAAGCTGTTAGCCTTTCAACAATTAGTTAATTGATCTATTTATACTCATATCAGTTATGTATATCAGTTAATTTGCTGTTACGTAATCTATACATCTCTGATTGCCTTATGAACAGCTTGGAATTAAATTTAGAGCAAGGCAGGCGTTGGGAGTGCTCGGCTAGGACATATCCTATACTAGATGCTCAGCACTAAAGCTGAAAAATTTACTATCTAAATTGTAGTAAAAGAAACATAGAAAAGCGAATGACTTAAGATATTAGGATATATATAGATATAGCTGTATAAAATGTATTGCCACTTCCACACTAAATCGTTCAAGTTTTTCTCTCAATTTCGACAGCTGCTGCAGTTGCTAAATTTTTGTTATCAATAGATAGAATATATATAATCAAAAATTGTATCAAAGTTGTTCGCTTTACTAGCTTTTACCACATACAAATGAAAGTTTAGACTATTTGCTTCCTCAGCAATAACCAAAAGTAAGCAACATAAAATGAGTCCAAAATTGTCTCGAGTTTTAATGGTTCGTTCTCGAAACCCTGTAGCACAGTGTGGTGTTTATTTAGCTGTTGTTGTTTTTAGACCAAAAATAGGCAAAGCAATGAAAAGAAGTCCGCAAAAAAATGAGAAAATAATAAAAGAGAAGAAAAAACTGTGCTGTTGCTTGAATTTTTCTAAAGCTGCTCCGAGGGCGGATCGTTCATTGGCCTGGCCGAAAGGGGCACAGTTCGGATCATATTGGAATGACGATGACTAGTGTTAAATCTTCTAGCCAAGCAACTGGCTGTCCGTCCGTCCGTCCGACTGTCTGTCTAACTGTCTATTTGATTTCATTAACAGCTCATTGCTGTGGCAATTACGTCTAGAGCCGAAATTGTTTGTCATATGACAGAGAAAGTCTTTGGTTCGCTTCATTTTTCTTTTAAAGCGCGGCAAGAAAAATAAAAACTCTTTTATGACATAGACTTTATATATAACGATGCCTGCACTTACCCATCGCCAGCTCACATATAACTAACTATATAATCACAGCAACAACAACAACAACGACTATGGGAAGCCCACTTCACGCTTGGTGGGGCTCCACAGCGGCATGCGCCACATGACACTCAAGCCAAGAGGCGTCCGAGGGGGGCGTGGCAGCGAGTGCGGAGCCATATAATGGCCACGTCTACAACTGACCAGCTGACCATTGACCAGTCTCTTGGCAAAGCGAAAATAGAAAAGCGATTTTAGAGGCCACACACTTGGATAACTTGTTCGAGGGGGCGGCCTAAAGCGGAGGCGTGCCAGACGCCCAGATGTCTCGCCTGAGAGCCTTTGCCTTTGCCTTAGCCTCGGCTGTTCATTGTCAGGAGACGCAACTTGAAATGCAATGCCACAAATCCTTTTGTGCAACGTAAACTGAGACCCAACAAAAGCTGAGCCAAACAATATGTTAAATGAGTGTAAACAAGTGAGAGCACTGCGGTCGGGCTTAGCTGACTGCGTGATACACGTTCAGGGTTGGCAGGCAGCGAAATACGACATCGATATAGACACACAAAGCTCATATGCCCGCTTCACTCTGTGAAACTTCTTTCTTCAGTTGTTCTCAGGGTCTGCTCTGCATCTGCATCTGCTTCGATTCAGCGGGTTTTTGGGCTACAACCTTGAAATTTTGGCAATCAAAAAACGAATCCAAGCCAGTGCTAATTTATGTATATGTGAAGATACATTTATATTATAAGCATATCAGCATAAACAAAACAAAAAGTTGACAAGTTTTACGCTTTATGCTAATGGGCTTTATTTGATAGCAGCTCTATCAAAGCAAAAAAGAAAGAGACAGACGGAGAGAGGGGAGAGGGAGGGAAACAGAGGCTGCCAGACAAAACGTCAATTGTTAAAAAATTCGCAAACTCTCGAAAAACAAGTTCCAATGACTGTGTTTTTTTTATCAGAATCAAATTGCTCCGGCGAGGAGTGCAGTCAGTGGAAAACGAGTCTACAGAAATAATTTAGCTATACAGAACAATCATGGGTAATCGTTCATGCATATATCTATTTATAAGACCCGTTATCAGCGTCGATAAGACAAACAGGCCACACACAATAGAATGCAGCCAGAAAAAAAAATAAATAAAAACATTAAAAATAACTAAAAAGGCTAGCAAAAACTCGGATCGTTCTGATAAGATTTCATTATTGAGAAAATAGAAATGTGTCAGACATATGTTATATGAGAAAAGTACACATAATTTCAACTCGTAAATGAAATTTATAATATAATTGATAGAAATCCCCATTAGCGTAGGCTTTAGGCCAGGTATACCCTCATTTAACCCGAAGAGCTTAAGAGCTAATTAATCTCAGCAAACACTTGAATATACGCAGGTAAATAATTGCGATTTAAATTACTTGTAAGTTGATTAATTGAAATGGTTTTAGTGCAAACAACTTTCCTCCTAATTGAATCCAATGTTAAACTATTAATTGCTCATATTTTATAAATTTGATTTGATGTATTTTCTTTATTGCAGTATCCTCTCACATTTCTCGTCAAACTGTTAATTTGCCAGCAAGCAATTCAGCTCTCCAAACTTCCATTTCTTTGCTTTTCATTTAATTCACTCGCTAAACTGCGTCGCAACTTCGAATTTTCTCTATTAATTCCAACGTCAAACGGATTAATGAAGCTTAATTAGTATTTTCCTGAAGTAAATGCAAACTCTCTTTTAGCTGACACCACTTCCCCTTGCTCCACTCACCGCCAGGTGGCGCTGCCAGTGCGCTTTTGTTGTCGTTGTTGCTGTCGCGGATGCGTAATTAAAAGCACTTCGAACATCCGTTCCTCATCATTAGCCCAATCATTAGCTACTGAATATGTTAAGCAAAATATATGTATATGTTTAATAACCGGAGCAATTGACTGGCTCATTGACTGACTGACTGACAGCTTGACTGATTGACTGATTGATTGACTGAAATTGCACTCTTCCTGATTGCTGACGTTTGCTTTTTGCTTGCAAATCGATTATAGCTCCAGTCATGCAACAGACACACACACACACACACATGCGAAATTAGTTTTGACGCTGCATAAATGAAGTGGCAGCTGGAAGGAGCGAAGCGGTTGGGAGTGAGCAGCATGCAGGAAGCGCTGTCTCGACCTTTCAACCCGGGCGCTAACCAAACGCCAAAGCCATTAGCAGCGCTCGCCTGTGCGACGCCAGCTGAAGCCAACCGCAAGAGCAAACAGCTAAAGTGACACCCAAAGCCTGAACGCCCACCCACTGTCTAACTCAGTCGCAGTCGCTGTTGCAGTCGCCATTGCCGTTCCCAATCCCTGTCGCTCTTTTGGCCTCCCATCATATTCGATAACAACTTTCTACCCGCTACAACTACAACTGTAAAATAAAATTGTTACTCACCCACAGAGAGCAGCAGGAAAAACTGTGCCAGCGACGTCGACGTCGGCGTTGATACTCAGTCAATGCTACTGTTGTCGTATTCAGTGGTGTTGCTGTGTGGTTGTTGTTGCTGTTGCTGCTGGTTCCTGCTGATGAAAATGTCAGCGGCTCCCCCAAGGCATAATTTGCCTTCACTCTATCTCTCTCTCTCTCTCTTTCTCTCTCGCACACACGCTTTGATGGACTGTGTTTTGGGAAGTTGATGTTGGAGTTGGACGTCTGTTAAAATTCTATTATTGCTCCCGTTCGCAGTCGCGACGCGGCGCGGTGTGTGTGCGAAAAAAATAATAAAATAAATTTGGATGGCAAATTGCGTTGTTTTGTGGACGGTCGATCTTGGGATTTGCGAAAATGTGCAAATTTAATGCACAAATATCACACACACACACAGGCCTATACAGTTATACACGCACACACATTTAAATATTCAGGTGAATGGGCATTGTTGCAGCTATTGTTGTTGTTATTGTAGCCTGGCAGCTGCTTGGACGGCAGCTGAGCAGCAGTTTTCAATGGCGCGCTGCTGCGACCAGGATCTTTGTTAGCCGCTTGCCTGAGTTTTATAATTACGTTTGTATGTGTGTGTATTTACAAAAGGTCCTCGCACACTCACGTACCACACATACACGTACACACTGAAGACGCGTTTTAAACAGCGCGAAAAATCGATGGCTTGAACAAAAATTTGTTGTCTTGGCAATGCACAAGCGACGGGACACACAAGCAGCAGCGGCAGCAGCTACAATAAATACAATTTAGATTGGACGGCACATCGATTAATTTGAAAATATTGCATTTTTATTTTTGGGGCCGTATTTAAAGGCTTCACAGCAAAGAAAACCCGTTCAGCTAAAAAAAAACACCTTAACACACAACACACCCACGAAACACATCCGAACAGGCCAACGATAGCGACGCTACTGTTAAATTACTCTCAATTGTGAGCGACGTCACTGTTAAATGGCTCTCAATTTCAACTATCCTCTTTATTTAACAGAGCTGTTAATCGAACATGTTAACGAACTGCTTGAGAGCGTAACAGTGCCGGTTAGCCGGTAAACAGTGTGACCATTACATAGACTGGACAGAAACACATACAACTTCAATTTGCTAGTGCTGCCCATCAGGCGCAGCATTTAAATTTCATCACTAACCTGAGAACACATAGACTAGACATGTAGTACAATATTTTTCAACGACGAAAAAATGCTCTGAAGAGACCAGACGCCTTCGTGTTTGTGTATTCTGGTTAGTTATTTCTATATAAAAACTATCAATTTTGTTTTTATTTTCTTAGTTTATTCAGTGAAACTGTTAGACAAGAGTTTAGTTGCATTTTAGTTTTATGTCCTAATACAAACTGTAAACCTTCTTTAACCAATGCAGAAGCAATTCAGTTTTTAAATATTGTTTTAAGATTGGAAGTATACATCTTAAGTTTGCTTAGAACTAAACATCTTACGAGAATTGATTGATCAGAAGTGTCTCGAATCATACACCTTATATACAAGAAGCTCAAAAAAGATTCTGAATTTATTATATTTTCTATTTGTTGCTGCTATTGAAAATAATTGATAGCAATTTATTAATTTTCGTACGATTTAGTTTCAATCTAGAAGCTACATAAAAACCCGGGAGAATATCACTCGGAACTCATCAATTGAGATACTTGGGACTTGGATAATCGAAAGTGGGGCTTCAAATAATTGCCGCAAGGTTTACAATGGATACAATTGGGAAAGTCGCCCAGATGGGGGACACTTAAAAACAATTCTATATATATATATATATTAATAGTACATAGATAATATGCTCGTAATGGATTAGCTGGCTGGTATGTAGACGCTCGGTGTTCTGTGGATCGCGCACTCATGCTCGACTTCTACTGCAGATATAGCCTATGATAATCGTTGGCGCCGAAGGCGCAGTTGCATTTGGGGCACTTCCTTTGCCTCGTCTCGTACCGCGTTCGCAGACAGTCGTAGCAGAAGACATGGAAGCATTTGGAGAGCACGGCATCCTTGCGCTTCACCTTGCACGAGGGACACGTGAGTGTTTCCTTGTATTCGCGAATCTCTTCGATCATCACCTCGTCGATGGTTGTGCCCGACATTTCCATCTTCTTCATGCGTTCCGCCTTTCGTTTGAACTGCGCGAGCTCCTCCTGTAGCCGCTTCGTCTTGTAGGCCTCTGCCTCCAGCGAGCTAGTCTTCTCGGCGACCACCTGTTGGGCCTCCTTCATTTGGGCATGATACTTTTCTAAATGCAGCTTCAGATCTGCAGCCGATTGCGCGGACTCGATAGCCTTTCGCTTGTGCATCTCCATGGCCTGTTGTCGCAGCATTAGCTCCTTCTCAATTGACGCCACGGTTGCCTGTAGACTGCGCTCTTTCTCCTCCAGCTTACGCAGCACAATGTGCATTGCCTCGATCTGTGTCGTCGCTGTAGTCATTTGATCCTCCAGCACCGTCTTCTCCTCGCGTAGCAGTTTGTGCAGCTGGTTAGCCTTGATCCGCTCGGACATTAGCTTAAAATTCGCATCGTCCTTTTCCCGCAACTGCTGGATGAGCCTTGAGTTTTGTTCCTGCATATCCTCGAATGCCTGGCCCGTCACTTCCATCTCGTTGAGCAACGCCTCTTCCTCGTGGGAGCCAACAAACGGGCGCGTGTAGTTGGCACCTCCAAGTCCTCCACCAGGTGCAGCACCCCATGCATTCTCCGTGGGCTTGTGATTGGCCACCTGCTTTTGCAGTTCGTATTTCTGCTCCTCCAACTGCTTAATCTTTCGCAACGCCTCCTCATCAGCTAGTTTCTTCCGCTCCTCCCGCTTGCTCTCCTGCAGCTTTTTCAGCTGCTGTCGCAGCTCTTCAATCTCGGAGCGCAGCTTCTTCTCGGTGGCCATCAGCTGCACCTTGTCGCGCTGATCCTTCGAGACCCCTTTGTACATGTCCAGCAGCAGCTTCATTTCCTTCTGATCGTTCAACGCTTTTCTGTGAAGCAAATGTGATAAGCATATGGAAGTCTACAATTTCAGTTTGACACTTACTTGAGTTGCGCTTTCAGATCCCGAACGGTTTCACTCTCCACGGCCTTGAGCTCCTTTGCCTTGATGCCTTCCTTGGAATCCTTTTCGGATTTAACAGTATTCGCCGTGCCAGCTGCTGCTGCTGCAGCATTCGCTGGTCCGGGTGAATCTTTCTTCTCTGCTGTTGCACTTTCGCTGCCGGATAGTTTCTCCTGCTTAATGTTTGGATCCTTGACATCTTTTCCGCCTGCTTCATCATCTAGGTCATCCTCGGCCGAGGCCGAGTTCTCCTCTTTGATGACCATGTTGACTTCGCCACTGGCATTGCCTGCTGTGGTGGAGCACGTCGTGCCACCGGTTGAACTATTGTTAGCATTCTCCTCCTTAATATTCGCAGCTGATTCCTGTTTAATTTCCTCGCCCGATGTGGCAGCTGCCGATTGCTGCTGCTGTTTGTTGCCCTCGAGCTTGGCTTGCGCATCATCCAGTTCCTTGCGCAGCTTTACGATTTCGGCGGAAATATCCTTATACTTACGCTTGTACCTCTGCACCTCACCCTTCAGCTGTCCGTTGTGGTTCTGCAGCGAGGTAATCAAATGCCTCATTTCCCGATTGATAGGCGCCGTCTGCTCGTTGGCGGCCATGTTCTGCTCGAACTCAATCCGCAGCGCTTCATACTCCTTGCGTATGAGCGCCAGTACGTCCTCCATTTGTATCATCTCGCTGCGAACCTTCTTCTGGGCAATCAGCTCCTCGCTCTCCATCACCTCGATCTGACGCAGATGCTGATTCTTGCTTGTCTGCAACTGATTGCGCGTCTCATCCAGCATCGTCTTGATCTGCATGGACTCGTTATATAGCACAGAGAACTGCGATTGCAAGCACTTATACTCCGTCGTCTCCACGATTACCGATTCGGGCAGCTGTCGGATCTACAAAGAGAGAATGATTTATGGATAAGTTAGTCGCTGAATTATACTGTTGTGCTCTCTTTCTCTCTTTCTTACATCCATTTTGAGTTTCTCGACTTCCTTGAGTGTTTCGCGATGCGTGGCATGCAGCTTATCCAGTTCCTGTAACCGATTGTTCGCCAGTTCTCGATGCTCTTCCAGTTCCTTTTGCAGCTCTTCCAGATGTTGGCTATTCACATTGGTTGTTGCACTGCCACCACCGCCGCTACCCCCACCGCTGCTGGGCGTTTTAGCACTGTTGTTACTTTTGTTGGGATCACCATAAATTTGGTGATAGGCCTTCAGCTTTTCAATGGCCTCGGCCAGATGATTCTCCAGCTTATCGTTCCGACAGTGGATCTTCTCCAGATCATATTGCAGTTCATCAATTTGGTTCTTCAGTTCAGCATTTTCTGTTTCCTTGGCGGTGAGTGCATCCTGGTATTCCTTCATCTTCAGTGACATCGTGTGAAATTTCTCGTGCAGCGATGTGTTCAGATTTTGCAGGTTGTGATTCTCTGTCATGATCTCAATGTGCGTCTTCTTTAACGTTTCCTCCAGCGCATGCACTGCTGCACCCGTTGTCGACGCATCCGACTCAGCTCCGGCAGTGGATTGTTGCTCCTCATCACCGCCAGCTGTTCCTCCCTGTGCTCCTGCACTGGCCAGACCATCACCTTTCAATACATGCGTTATCTTCTCGTTACGTTGCATTAACCTATCAATAACCTGTACGATCTTCGCCACCGCACGCTTCGATACCTGGACACGATTCGCTAACTTCTCGTCTAGCTCCTCCTTGTCCCACGTGGAGAGTTGTGTTAGAAACGAGGTCGTCACCTCGTTCTCATTCTTATTCTCTAGCTCATCAGCCGTTTCCGCATCGAATCGCTGTAGCAGCACCCTTATATCCTCATTTAGCTGATTCCAATACCTATTTACCACGTTGAGGACTGCATCATCCTGCGTTTGCCGCTTCTCCAGTTGTTCTATTCGATGCCGGAGCTCGGCCTCACAGCGCATCCGCTGTTCTATTCTCTGGGCGAGTTTCTTATTCTGAAACTCCAATACCTTGATGTCCATCTCTTCTAATGTTGACACCGGCCCAATTAAGTGTGGCTCGAAGTGCACCTTTTTGATGGGCGGCTGGCCAGCGGCTGCTGCCACTAAACAGCTGCTGCCGCCGCTGCCGGTGCCACTGGCATCGTCAGCGCTACGTTTTGACATAATTTCTAAACTGCAACAACAATCAAATGTAGAAACGAAACGCAAATAACTATTAATTTAAGTTTTCTCTATTATTGATTTTCAAGTTTCGTGGCTGTGGCTGTACTCCATTTTGCTGTGTGTGCGGCTCGGCGGACGCTGCCAGCTGCAAAAATGCACACATATGTGAAATGGTTGAGCGGTTGGGGTGACAGACGGACTGTATTACTTACCTTAATTTCTGTTTCTACACTTTTTAGCTTAACATTAATTAATAACTCGGCAAACGACAGATTTCTAAAGGAGTTTTCTACTAATTGCTAGCTGTGTAAAGAGTTGCATTATAGACGATATATTGTGGCGGCTAATCGATAGATTGTTCTAGATTTCAATAAGCCAACAGATTCGATAGCTGGCAGAACCTAGTTCAGTTCACATAAAAGTTGGCAGCACTCAACAAGATTATCGATGCCACAAATTTAATTTATCGATACTTTGATAAAACGCAAGTCCAGTCTCGGCTGTTAAATTGTAAATAATGCTGAAAAGTTGAAACTTGTATAATAAGCTATATTACTACTTGAAATTGTATTTTATGGCAGATGAAAGAGTTAAACAAAAAAAATTTAACACTCACACAATAAAATGCTTGAAATACAGAAACACGACGAGCAACCAAAAATTCTGAACGCTTTTTATTCAGCAGCCTGTTTATTTATAAGCAGGTCAGGAATGTTATATTGGAA